TGTAATGTGTTACATATTGACTGATGTAATGAAAACTCCAGTCTAAGTGGTGAACCACCATTGTTATAGTTTGTAGGTCATATAAAATAGAAAAATATTCTACATACTGTAATAGCTATATCTCACTATTTACTACTGTATATAGGCAATAGACTTCATTAGTATACTACTCAATAATGTAGATTCTCTTTGTTTCTTTCCTCATGGTTAAAGAGCATTATATCAAGATTGTGGAATTAATTTCCAATAGAAACTGATGTAGGGCTGTGTGTGTCAAATAGGGAAGGAGGTTTTGAGTCACCTTCTAAGCGCTTAGATGCCAAATGTTAGAATTTTCTCAGATGCAAAACTTCTCATGATTTTCCGTCATTCTTAAGTCCTTGGAGCTCTTATAACATGAATAGCAAATATAGTTCAATAACTATCTGGATCCAGTCAACAGATCTTTGGAATGTAAGGCGTTATTTTCTGACATAATCTGTGCTTTAAAATAAGTGAGGTGTCCTCGTTATTAAGATATTGAAAGAGAAACTATTATTGATTGGATGTTTGTTTGTTAATTATTCACTTATTAAACCATCATTTTTATTGTCTTATTCTGAGAACAGGAAAACTCTTTTTTTTAGACAAAGTTTAAGCAGTTTTATAATAAATTGATATCAACAGAGTGACCAAAGTCTGTGAATTATTTCATGATGAACACAAGATCTGTAAAATTTTCATTAGGATGGGAAATGGAATTTTGTTTAAAACATGTTAATAACTGTTTGATATTTAATAGTATAAATAAAGACTATATAGTAGGTAGTATAACTATCAATGTTTCTGCTTCACTAGGTATTATAATAATAAATAGACCTATATAATTTATAACTTGTCTACCTTGTCAATGATCAGACTTAGGTTCACCTCACAGACAATTTAATACTTTATTAAAACAATAAACTTCAACCTATTGCTTCATCTTATATAATCTCACTGTAATAGGAAACTTTGATCTTATGGATCAGATTGGAAATAAAACTAAAATTTATGTAAAGTAATATAATAGGACTAGCAGATGAAATTAGATATTTCTGAAGGGATATTAAAGTGTTTTTAACTTAGATTGGAAAAAAATGATACCAGAAATGCATATTGCCCTGATTTGAAATTGTATAATGATATTATACTTTTTGCACCTTGAATTGGCCAGATTAAGACATCAATACATAGCAAATATCTTTCTTTTATCCAGAAATATTCTTGCATGCAGTGTGCACAGTTGTGAATTTCTGATTCAGTTGGCGTGTGGAAGTCATTCTCCTCATTATTCCATTAGACTTGGAGTACAGATATTTTGGAAATGTCAATGCCTGGAGGTTTGGCAAAGGACAAGCTGGTAGAAAGGATGTAAAATACACATTGTTTGAAGTTCATTGTGTTTTCATTTTATGTCACCATGTCAAAGTTAGAGTGGAGTGGATAATCCACAGAATCAATCCTTAGGATATTTGGATATTATACCATTCTAGTGTTTAGTTGACTTTTCATATCAGTTCTGATATCTTGATGTATGCTATTTTTCATGTTCAAGAGGTCAAATTTTATATTATCTTATTTATTTTCTGTCTGTTAATACAATTTACATGATAAAGTCACTTTTTTTCTGGCTGAGTCACAAAGATGTACATTTCTGAAGTAAGGAAGTTGTCTAAATGTTTCCTTCAGCAACTTATAAAGCTCAATTTCATCTTACAGTCATAAGTACAGTTTATATCTGGTTCTCCAACAATCAAATAATTTGTGATATATCTTAGACTATCGTCAATTATATAAAGTAATATATTGAAAAAAAAACGTCATGCAAATAATTTGGAAGATCAGATTCATTAGTAGTTAGTTATGAATGTTTTGGTTAGAGTGTAGAATATATTCTTGTCAAGTGATTCTATCCTGTTATTATGATGACATAGAGTTTTCTGTAGCTATTTATATATTAAGTAGGAAGTCCTATGATAGGATAGAATTAATATCAAGGAAGAACAGAGTGCACTCTTGCATTACAACTTTCCTGGTCTAAATCCCAAGATGACTGGAAAACACTTTTAGTGTTAAGTAATTCACCGGTCAGACTAAGCATCAAAATGTGAGAGTTTTTCGTGTAATAAGGAATATTTAGCAATGATTGAATTTCGTTGCCAAGAATTAGGTTTTAAAGCTCAATTGGCGTTGAGTATTTGATTTACATGAAAGAAAGCATGCCTATTTCTTGTACTGAAGCAAATACCGCTTGTTATGATAGCTCTCTGCTCAATGTTAAAAATCATTTGACATTATTATGATCTATTGCCAATATAGTTCACTGTAATGGTGCAGAAGAACAGCCATATTTCTTAATTTTAGTCTAACTAAAGATCTTTAC